CATCCTGCATTCAGTATGTCCCTTCTGTCATTAAAGCAGATATAACTGTACATTAAAACCTGAGTATTATTTATATTCTTATTTCAAAATTGGCTTTAGAAATACTTGCTCTCAAAAAAAATTATTTTCCAGAGACCATCACTACCACCCCACTGGTGGAGCCTGGGACTGTGGAAGCAAAAACAGGACTTATTCTCTTCCTGGCTGCAAAGTGAAGGAGCAGGGAGAGTAAGATGAGCCTTAGGCCAAGGCGACCTCAGATTTTAGTCTCTCAGAGGCTTTCAATCTATACTCCTACCTTTACGTTAGAACCTATAAGTGGCTTAACAAGATGCTTACTGATATGAACATTTCTTGAGGGCTTCTTTTGTGACAGGCATTTTACACTGAGTATCTCATTTACTTGTCATAGCGACCTGATGAAGAGAGATTTGGGCTTAGATGGAGGCGGCACTAGGAGTCCTATTCAGACTCGAGGCCCAGAGTAGTTAAGGAATTTGCCCAAGGACACATAGCTCATCAGCAGCAGAACTGGTATACACACACAGATAGCGGAACTGGAGGCTTCCTAGGACATTCTTGTATAAACGTGGCCTAAATCTCTTTACCTTTCACCATAGAACTTCCTTCAGGAGGACATGTGGCTACTTTCCTGCAGTCACCTTCTCTGCAGCCTTAAAAGAATTGCTAAGTTCCTTATTCTCAGGGCTGGTGTGCCTCTGATTCCTCCAGTGTCCTCTAAATTCTGCTTTAGTGAGGGCCACAGAAGGAAGGGGAATGAGAAATGAGTCCATGCATTCTTGATCCCCCTCTTTCCCATGTTCTCCAGTCAGGTTGAGACTTAAATTTGGGAGAGAATCAGACTTTCCACCCTGGCCTCCTCACTCTTTGCAGCCTATAAAGTGCTTTTATTAACCCTAGAAAACATTCTGCCTCCTTTAGTAAATGTGTCCAGAATTTTTCATGAAGTCATTTTATTTTCTTCCTTGGCTGACTTTCTTGTTTGGACCACAGTCAGGAAGAAGGTCAGTTGAGGTGAGGCAAATTTGAAGTATGACCTTAAATATGGACAAATGATCGCTCAAACAGCATTGTTGTTAACTCGTTTGGCATTTGGGTCCCATTAGGGACATAACCAAATAGAGAAGTTTTCTGCAAAAGGATGCTGCCATTACCCCTCTCAGCAGCAAGAACATTGTGTTTAGGAAGAGTCCTGTGCCTGGCCTAGGGTGGCAAGCCCCTCCTGTGTACTGTGAAAGAGTTCAGGTCTGGGACTAATGTTAAATTGTCCCTGAATTTCTCGTCTCTGCATCTTTGCAGGGAGGTAGTCATGACAGGGCTACCCCTTCTCAGAATGGTCCATTCTGGTTTGTTTCATGGTATTCATTCTCCTCTGTCTTCTTCACGAGCCCCTCTTGCTGCCACGTGGCTTTCTTCTCACCCTGTGTCAGGGCTCAGGAGCCACGCAAAGTCAGTGAGTGAAGCCAGCCAGCTGTGAGGCAATAGAGAGTGGTGGGGCATGTGGCTGACCAGGGCTCGTGGGCCCCATCTAAAGAGGCAGCCACTGCTCAACTCCAGGCCATTTTGATGAAGAAGAAATTCAGGTCTAGTGTTCCAGAATACTCCATTTTCCAAGAGAAATTTGAAAACTCGATTTTTATGTGATGAGACCTTTCCTGGTTTTTCAATGTTTGGCAAATAATTGAAATGATTTTAAAACACACTATATGGGTCAAGTGAAATGTCTGAGGCCTGGGGCTGGACTCAGTTTTATACTCTCTCTCCTTCTCCACAATCTTGCACACCCTCCCTGGTTTAGCTCTTGCTCTCTCAACAAATGTCGACGTCTCAGAGTTAGATCTCTAACTCTGGCCTGCACCCCAGACATCCATGTGGATGTCTGCGTACCTCATGCAAAGCTGAGCTCATCAACTTCCCAGATCCGCACAGGTCTCGAGAAATGCTAGATGTTTTTGTTTCATTCCCCTGACAAAAATACTATTACTAGTGCAACTACTTTTATTAATGCTAATAGTACTACTACCCACAGTAATCCATTGCTCCTCTTTTGTTACCTGTTTGCCATTCAACACCACCGCTCTGTCAGCTAGTGTCCCCTGTGACCTTGCGCTCCCTCCTTACCCTTTCACCCAGCTCCCAGCAGGGTGGATTTTGTTGGTTCTTCCCTATACCTTGCAGGACTTGCTTCTAACTTTTCCTTCTCACTAACCAGGAACTCTCCCAATTTCTGAACTTGGCATGTCTTCTCAGCTTTTGTCTCAGCCTCCTAATTGTCCACCTACCACCAATCTCTGACCTCTCCATTCGAGATTTATTCATCACACTGCGCAAGAGTCATCACAGGGCAGCTCTTGTCACTCACCTCTTCGTACACTTTTCATGGGTCCTACTGGCTGTCCCCCAGTTCCTCAACCACCCCCAAGTGCCAGCCACGCCACGTTACCTGCTCCTCCACCAACATACTAGGTGCTTACATGCATTCATGCATTTGTGTTGGCTGGATTAGGCACAGCTGTCTTCCTCATTCATGCCTGTATGCATTGTATTCATCTGCCTCATCTCTCATCCGATGCCACCTCTTCCATGAGGCCGTTACCACCAGCTCCCAATGCTATTTGCCCAGCCCCTCTTCAAAGTTCCTACAGTTCTGTGCTATGTCTCGTCATTTCATCCAGCTGTGTATTACAGATTAAGTCTGCTTGCCTCTTCCCCATTCTCTTGATCAACTTAATGAGGAGACACTGTCCTTGTCATCTATGTATCTACACAAGGCCTAGTGCACTTCTGTGCATACAGTAGACACATGTAAACCTTTGTAAATTAAATTGCATTAAACTTTACATGGAAGATGGCTGTATCTAAAGGGCTCAAGAAAAGATATTAAGAGTCAAAACAAAAGTGCTTTGTTATTCAAAAGTATCAAGCTAGTAAAAGAGTTATTCTGCCTATCTCCATGCTCAGGGATACAGTTTTTAGAGGAGGGACAGCCGTGATTTGGTCTACTTTTTCTCAGGCAATGCCGTTCCATAGTGCTCCTTGGAAGTTTGGCTTCAGTGCCAGGGCAGGGAGGAATGGGCAAAGTCTCTCGGACACCAGCACTTCTGCCACTCTGGCATCGAGAGCAGTGCATTATTCCTCTTGCCCAGAAGAACAAGTTGTACCCACACATTCATAAGCTATCCTCTGCTAGTATCATTGGCAGGCCTGAGAATTTCACACGAGCCTTCTAGGTCTGTTCTGCCATCCTTGTATCCTGAGGTTTTTTGCAGCATTGTTTCTTGTTAATTAGCTCTTAGAATAGATGCTGTTATTCCACCAGAGATTATATTTCACTGACTTTCCTGAAAGAATCTACTCATTTCTTTTGTGAATGTATTTCCTCTTCTTTTCTAAGTTGCACAGCCTTATCCAGGTAGAGTCCGAGTAGAATGACCTCCTAGTTCTTACAGAACTGAGTTATTTATGAGATATGTATTTCCTAAATCCACATTGACCACTGGACAAGCCTGGAGTGCTAACTGCTCTGGATGGAGCTGTGGAGCTCTGAAAGGTCCTTTTACTTTCAGGTCCCACTCCCAGGCCAGCACCACCTGTGGCCTTGCATTCCTTGTCACTAGGAGAGAGGAGAAGCTATTAAACCCCATCGGTGTCTTCATATTTTATTGGCTCCCTTTTGAAGATTTTTTAGCATTTTATGTGGTCCGTCCTGTCAGATGTGCTTAGGCACTTTTGAGGCCTCCTCTTTCCACATGATCATTTTCAAGTGAAGCAACACTGGAGGCTTTGCAGCTTTGGACACCTGGCATGGCAGGGACGGCCACCTCTAACACTACCTTTTCACGTCTGCACCTTCTACAAGGTTTACTCTGGAAATTCTACTCTAAAGAAATTTCTCTGAACACAGCATTACTTTTGTCCTGTGGTCATAAATCAAACTTGGGAAGGGGTACTCGGAGACTGTCATAAGTTGTCGTAAATGTGTTTAAAGGTAATTCAATTTAAATTTAAAAACGAAAACAAAACTTATTATCCACGGCAATTTTCTTTTTAAAATGGGAAATTAAATTAGTTTTAAGTGTCTTTGAAATCGAAAATCACATTCTGGCCATGGAAAGTGAATTATCCTGTACTAGTCTTTGGTCAGAACGTGCTCAGAACATATTTAGTGGCCATTTTGTGAAAGTAGATTTAGTCCCAAACATCTTGATAAGAGCTCAGACCCAAGGAAGTTTCCCGATTGATAGAAATATGGGAGATTTATATACACACATTGCTTGAATGTGTGGCAGTGCTCGTTTTGGTTTTTAGCCTATGCAGCAAGATTCTCAGTCATTAAACATTTCAAAAATGGAAGGGCAGGGGAGAAGGGAACATCTTGAAGAAAAAAAACTTTTCACTAAAACTATGATTTCTTTGTTGCATAAAGACAAGTGGCCAACTTTGTTTATCCTAGAGCCAGAACACAGAACTTTGTTTTTCATCCTTGCGGCTTCTTCGCACAGATCTTCAAAATAATGACTCCCACTCTTCTCTCTGTGGTCTTGTCAGAGAGTGGGAATCCTGGCCAGCTAGTCAGGTCTCTCAGAAAAATGGCACAGCTGTTCCTAAAAGTAGCCCCATTCATAAGATGTGGGCTCCCTACAACTGCAGGGTTGGAGAAAGGCACACTATTTTATAAAGAGTTCCTTTTCTTCAAAGAGGAAAGCAAAATACATGATATTTACAGAAAACTGGACCCTTCAGCTTTTTTTAGTGGCCACGTCTGAAATGGAAGTGGGGAAGGCCATAAATATACACAAGCAGTTGCAACTTTAAGGGATGATTCACATTGGCTGCCCTTGATGGAAAATTCAGCTAGTTAGGCAAGATCAGCCAGAAAGCCTCACACAAACTCCTCTTCCAGAACTGATGCCTACCATCTTGTGACATACTTGTTGTATGTGGTTGAATGATTGACTCTTTCTCCCTCCATCTCTCAGTTCATGACCAAGAACCCCACCATGCGCTTGGGTAGCCTGACTCAGGGCGGTGAGCATGCCATCTTGAGACATCCCTTCTTTAAGGAAATAGACTGGGCCCAGCTGAACCACCGCCAGCTAGAACCACCGTTCAGACCCAGAATCGTAAGTGTCTGAGACCATCATACTAGACTTTCTTAAAATGTTATAGTGTTCCAAAGTCTATTGAATGGCTGGATGGTTCCCTATGGAATAACCAGAAGGTCAACCTAATACTTGGCAGGGGACCTTTACCTGGAGGAGGCCAGACTTCTTGCCTGAGACCCAGATTACTTCTCTGTGTGCCCCGGTTACTTCTCACAAAGTTTTCACTTCTTGCTTGCCCTAGCCTCATTGTCCCTTAACTTAAGATAAAATTTCCTGGTGCCTAAAAAGCCTGAAACTTTCCAGATTCTCTAAAACAGTTTGGCTGATTGAGAAATTCACTCTTCCTAAGCCAGTGTCCTTATACTCCTCAGTGAGGGCACCTTTCCCAAGCACCTAAGGAAGTACAGACAATGGAGAATGCTACTCACTTCAGTAAGCCTGGCTCCTCGGCTTGGAGAGCCTGGGTCTGTAACAGCGACTGCAGTGCAGAGCTCAGGCCAGGTCCCTTTTGACTGGAGAAATACTAGGAGCACAAAGGGTGTCTCCCCAAGCTAAGCAGCTGAGTGGGGTAGCCTTCCTGAGGGTGGCCCACCTCTTAGTCTGAGGGGTAAGCTCCTTCTTACCCCTCAGACTAAGAGGTGGGTCAGGAGATCCACAACAGGAAGGCAGAGATGCTGAGCTAGCAGTAGATCAAGAGTTGGGGGGATGAGGAGTGCTCCAAAGGTAGAGAGAGAAGTATCATTGACTCAGGTAAGAGAAATGAGAGGTCTAACAGTAGTGGAAATGATCTTTCCAGCACTAGTTTATGAAAATGTAAAATACCAACATTTCCAAACACACAAGCTGAATCTGGAATAGCCAGCTGGTTGGACACCAAGCACCCAGAGGCAAAGCCACCGCCTTTAATGGGCATCCCCCTGCCGGCTCCTCTGGAATGAGCAAAAGCTTTGCCAGCTGGCCATATTAAATCTGATTGGTGAATAAAATGAGAGGTAGTTGTTCCCTAAGCTCAGCATTTCCAAGAAATCTTTCGAGAGAAAAATCTCTTCAGTAACATAGACCTGTGTACAAAACAATAGGCGGAGCAAGCGTGAACTTATTCAACCTCTGTTGACAAATATGAGCTTGTGTGCATCTCATTAAGGCCAGTTGAGAAGTGGCGCCCTGGTGAAATGGAGAGCAAAGGGTGAGTGAGCCAGCTGGTTCAGGTGACCAAATTAATTTCTTAGCCTCCCAGCCTAAGGCTGGCCTTGCTCAGCAAGATTTTCATGAGCTTAGTGAATTGGTGGTTACCAAATGCCATAATAATACACAATGCAGAATTACTATAAAATGCTGTTTAATCATAATTGTTATAACTGTAAATAATGCTACTGAGTAGCAGAGTTCTCTGAACTCATTGGAATGGGCCAAGTCCCATGGAAGATGAGTAAGTTTCAAGTGCATAAATTTGACCCTTGTTTTCTTTTTGACAGAAATCTCGAGAAGATGTCAGTAATTTTGACCCTGACTTCATAAAAGAAGAGCCAGTTTTAACTCCAATTGATGAGGGACATCTTCCTATGATTAACCAGGATGAGTTTAGAAACTTTTCCTTCGTGTCTCCAGAATTGCAACCTTAGCTTTATGGGGAATGAGAGAGATGATATGAGAATCACAAGAGGACACAGATTTTCCAGGAATTTCCTCTGCAGAGAACCCCACAGCATCAGCCTTAGAACAACATTACCGTCAGGGAGCAAGTGGAGAACTCTGAAGGACGGAAGTTCAAGACATCCACTGTTTCAAGTCCCGAGTGAGCCGTGGCACTGGAAATAGTTGATGCTGAAATGAGATTTCATGAAGAAATATACTGTTCAACCTATGAGTCTGGTGGCTAGTTCGGGCTTGGGATATTAACAGGAACCAAAATGAGAGAAGTGTGAAGAATAAACTAGATCTTAGAAATTCTGAGCCAAACAGGCTTTTTATTTCAAGAGACAAATCAAGACTTTGTATGGACCTCTCTTTAAGCCAGTGAGCCCCTAATACTGGAAGTCCACGAGAAGTCGCTAAAGGCTAATGAAGAATCTAAAGGTAAGGAAATGGATGGCTTTCCAAATAAAATGATTTACTCTGAAGAAACAAAAACTGGTATGCAAAAAAATCATAACTTAAAGCCCAATCTTGAAAACAGATGTTGGACACCAAGACAACGTTCCAGCTTATTCTCTTATCCTTACCTTTATAGATATTTATTTGAGTGCCCATCAAGATGGTGCCACAGTACCCAGTAGGGTAAACAGATCTGCGTTCACCAAGCTTTCATTCTACAGTCCATTAATTTACCTGGTGTTTGCATTCTGTGAAATGCCTCTCTACGTTGCATATGTCATACTTTGTCTGCACATAACTCTTTTTTCACAGAAGGCTCACTGCCGCAACAGCAACTATCCACACAATCAGCAGGTAAGCTAGAGGTGCTTGCTTGCCTGCCTGCTGACTCGTGGAATCTCATCGTGAGGCAACGTGTCCATATTGCCCTGGACTCCTCAGTGAAGAATCGCACGCCACTCACGTCTATGACCAGACTTATGGCTTTTACGTTAGCAGTTTATTTAAATTATATTTTAAGAGGCGAAGATGTTTGTTTGGTATGCATTTTAATAATTAGAAATGGCTCTTGTAAACAGCACATTTATCAAAGAAGGACCTTATACTATGTAACCATATATGCAGTTGGAGAATTTTATCTGGCTGGAAATAAATGCATTTTGTAGCAAAAGGAAATTTTTTTTTGTCTAGAAGGATTTGTCCCATCCCCTCTAGGAGACCACATATCCAATTAATAGTTTTGAGCAGAATGAATAGAACTTTTAAAGCAAATTCCGGAGAGGAAAGGTTGGAATAACTTTCTGTGTATGCCTTAAATGAACATGGTCTGTCTCTTACTGACTGACCAAAACTTTGTGCTGAATCGGGGTAAGGACCGCTGCAACAGACTAACCCTTGAACTCTCGGTGACTAGGCAGAATGTTTATTTCTCATTCACATATAATGCAAGTTCCACGGCCCTCTTCCATCTTGTAATGATGCCATCTGGGAAATGCAGCTTCCATGGTTGTCAGAGCAAAGGAGAGATGGGGGAGGTGCTCGCTGCCTGCCTCTGAGGGAGACACATCACTTCGCTCACATTTGATTGACGAGAACATGGCCTCCCTCTAACTACAAAAGGGATGGGCATTACAGAGCAACAAGGGGTGTCTGGCTAGTAGTGACAGTTTCTGCTGGGAGTTCTTTCTTGCATTCCAAGGTGAAAAATGACTTTTGAACGACTAGAGTAGTTAGGAGCCCCCTTTTATGTTTGTTTAGCATTTAGCCTTTCATAGGCACTCTCGCCTACATCATTTCACGAGATCTTTACAATACTCTTGGGAAGTGAAGCTGGTAATTTTACCACTATCTCTAATGTGAATACCATGGCACATTTCACAAATGAGAAGAGAGGCTCAGAGAAGTTGAGTTATTGGTTGCCAAAAGCTTTCAGACTTGGTAAGGAGTGAATCCAGTCTATGACAGATCAAATCTTTGAACTTCTAATCCAACAGACTTCAAGAAAGGAAGGAATCATTCTGATCTTGGGATTTTGGGGACTTCATCGCTATTTTGTAGCTCAGGGTCTTCTGCTCTGTGGGGCAGTTAGCTACTTGGTATGGTTTATCCCACAGTGGTAAAGAACCATGAATAAAGCATTCCTTTTGTGTTCGTTCACAAAATCCATTATCACAGCCCTGCAAAGGACCCACACTCCTCTTTGATGAGTCTGTAATCACCCAGCAGCTTTTCTCGTCACAATCTATTCTCAAGCCTGCTACCCGGGTACCCCAGTTTGGGATAAGTTCATTCTTTTAAGGTAATTCCAGACTTGCCAGATTATCACAGCCAATGATTTTGCTATGATAGAATTTCCAGTGCTTCTTTCTTGTTCTTCTTTTACATATGAGGGAGAGGGGGAGATATAGAATATTTACCAAAAACTCAAAGAATCTCCAACTCCAGGGTTAGAGCGTGGCTTCACATCTTTCATCAGTTCTCCTAAACCTTGCATCCCTTCTGAGGATCACAAGGCTGGCCTCCTGCCTACACTTCCTGGGGCAGACTGGCCACAAGCCATTCTATCAGCAAGTGCTGAGTCTGCTGCTGGGACTGCTGGTAGTGAGGTCAAAGTGAGGTCACACTGACTCCTCAACCCCCTTCCTCAGGACCACCTTGCCTCTTAGATAAGGAATATTTAGAGATCCTCAGGCCTTATCACCCTGCAGTCCTCCCCAGCTAGTCCTTATTCCCAAACCTATTCGTCCCTACGGGGACGAACTAGACATCAGCCTTAAGTATTTGAAAGAATAACTACAAAGCATTTGTTTTGAGATGTTCATCAGCTTTTGACTGCAGATGTTTTCCCTTAATAATGACTAACATTTAGTGCATGTTTATTATCTGTTCCAAACATTTAATTGTATTTACTCATTCAGTACCCTAGGAGTTGGGTACTCTCATCTTCATGGTACAAATAGGAAAACTGAGGTATAGCAAGATTAAGCAACTTATCTGAAGTCACACAAACCAGTAGGGTCAAGATTCAGACCACGCCGTTTAACTCCAGAGTTTCTACTTTTATAACCCAATTTGGTGAGGTTCTTCTATTAAGGCCGATTCTATTTTTTCCCATGTTTGTGGAGTTTTAAGAACAATAAAAAGGGTATAAAATCAGGATTAGCAGGGAAAACTTGGTCAACTGCCAGCCGGGCGGGATGGTATTAGTCATCCTGTCTGCAGAACCATTTATCAGCAGTGAGATTGTAGGATTTGCATGTCAAGGGCCTGGAGCTGGTAACCCCTCCTTAAAGGAACTGGGGCAGGCCAGAGTGATGCAACTGGGACTCAAGCCTCCACAAGGAAGAGGAAACAGTCTGGGTCACCCTGAATCCTGTAAACCCCATGTGAATCCCTGGGGTAACCTCTGAACTTTGGTGAGATTTCCAGTCCTATCCTATCCCCTCCCAGAAAAGACTTTTCATGTTTCAATAACTCCTTACTACCCACTTTGCTGGCTCATGGGGCATCACAAGAAGAAGACATGTAGCCTGGAGCCTAACTGGCAGCTGCATGTTTACAACTACAGAGCTGATGTAACTTGGTAGCAAAGAAAAGAACAATAATAAAATACCCCATTTATCATTTATTGATCTTAATTGGGTACAGGTTGCCTTGAAAATATTCCAGCCACAGATTTGGCCTTGACCATATCACCGGCCAACACCATTTTCTTTATGTTATTTATTTTCAAGTTTGGTCATCCTGATTGCGTTGACTTTAAAAGGACTAGACAGCCTACTGTGATTGCCCCTGGCTCAGAGGCACACTGGGTCCTATCACTTATCATTTTACCTCGTCTGAGGATAAGACTCAGATACAGCCTGAGACATCTGCAGGGGAACTGAGCCCTGTGGTCATAAGTTCCTCTGAACTGACTTGTGGGTTGGACAGAGTCAGCCGGAGTGCAGCTATAAATGGGGCTTTGTAGTCTCCCTTCCTTCCTGTGTTGAATTAGAACCAAAGCTAAGAGTGCTACCCTTAGCTTCATCCTGTCCCAGCTGTACACCCCCCCCCACAATCACCTCCACTCCCTTGTCAGTTGTTCTCTTCCCCCCATCCTCACTCTATTTCCCAGGACAAGTCAGTTCTATACTCTCTCTTCCTCCAACATTTGATTTTCAGAGTGCCACCTGTCACATTAGCTAGTTTTCCAAACACCTAGATGACATAAGTCCCAGTTTTCGTATTTATTTATAAGCTCTTTTAGAGTCTATTATATTTCTCCCATGTATTTCTGCACCTTCAGCATCATCCTGTGTCAGCTCTTCCCCTGGCATTGACTGCCTATAAGAGCAACGCTGCCTACACTGCCCACCATGGTTCTGGGAAGCAAGACATCACGGGGGTTAAGAGCACTGCCGACTTAAGTAGAACGCAGACCTATGTACTGAATCTCTCACTTACTGTGTGTTCTTGGGGAGTCTTTCCCCTAGATCTCAATGTTCTCATTTGTGAAATGGGATTGAGAATAGTACCTGCCCACCTCATGTTATTACAGCAGGCATCAGCTGTGATATCCTATGTCAAACACCTACCCCATGAAAATCAGTCATAGAAAATCAATCGGTGTTAGCAGTTATTGTCAGCTATTCCAGAGAACCACAGGAAAGTGGTATGTGATGTCCAGAAAAAAATGGACAGTACTACACTCTTCACGCAGCCCATCTCACTTGATGGGGATGCTGTGCCAGCTCCGAGTTGGAGGAATTTTACTTTTCTAATTAGTTGGTGGCAGGAATTGCTCAGGAGACTCTTTTAGAAACTTTTCCTCAGGAGTTTTGAGCCCATCCTACCCTGATTGACATGCAGGATCAGTATTAAGCTTGAAACTGTGCTGATTACCCTAAAAATGAGAGGCCAAGAAATATTTAGTTTTCTCTAAAATAGATCTTCTCTCAAGCCTTTCAGGAATTCTTTTGTTCTGCTAAATTTAACTTGAAGGTATATTTAACTCACTTCTGACCAAATAACAAAGAGACCTCATGCCAGCACCTGTACCTGCTGGACACCCTCTAGATACTCAACATGACTGTGGACCTGTTGAGAAAGAGGACGTGTGCTCAAGGTCACAAGTCCTGGCATATCTAAGGGTTTAAAGTCAATAATAGAACCAAGGGCCTTTTCTTTCTAGATGAAGATATCTATGAAGAAAGTTTCTATAGTCTTGTGTATTCCTACTAAAAACAGCCACAGCATCCCTGTCTTCATGCAATAACCCTTCCAGACCACCCACAGCTGCCTTTCTCATGCCACCAAGGCAGTTCTCACCTCACAGAGGTTTCATTCTTCTAAGGGCTTGAACCATAGCTAGAAGATTTTAAGCTAGACAAAGTGAAAAATTGTGTAGTCAAATGTTCAGGTGGGTTGCAGAGGTTGACACAGGAATCTTCTTTGGAGACATTTCAAAATGTTAGAAACCAGGGATAGTCTAGCAGTCATTTGATCCGAAAGTGTCAGAAATAACCTGGATGACCCTCAAGTTCTTCCAGCTGTGTGGTCTCACGAATAAGGGTGAGCAGAGGGATACAGCTGATCAGCCTCCACCAGCAGACACCAACCCCGCACTACTCTCACCACACACAAAACCCTCCATCACTCGGATTGCCTCCCTGTCCATCTCTATGCGACCTTCGCACATTAGCACACCCATCATGCTCTCTGCATGCTCTCTCAATCCCAAATCCCTAAAATCACATACATCTCATACCCAGTTGTCTTTCATATTTCTCATGTTTGTTCATCCATGAAAAGGAAAAGTGCTTTCTAAAGTTAAGATCAGCACAAGATCATGAGAAAGATAAGCCCTCTTCCAGCAACTGATGAGTACTTGTGAATGAAAGAGAAAGCAGTATTCCTCAACTGTGCTCTGCTTTTTCCCTCAAAGCTATTTTCAAGAGGGAAAGGTTACAGTAAGTTGTATAGCCCAACATAGATAAAGAGATTATCTAGATAGAGCATTCAGGTAAGTATGGGCAAAACTGCAGAACAGAATTAGTTAAGCAGTAATTTCTGAGCACCAGAAGGGGCATTTAACATTGGGACTGTTGAAGAGTTCATAAAAACAAGTCTGGAAAGTCTAATTGCATTTTTTTCTTGGATGGTTACTAGACTGGTTGATCAGGAAGATGT